CCTTATCTAAAAAATGATCAGTTCCCTTTTGAAATAATTCAACAATAATACCAAAACTGCAACTTACAATTGTGATATGCTATTTTTGATCTCTTTGTTGTTTTTTTCAGCATCAATAACTAGCTTCCTGACTGTCTTGGCGTGGTATCCTAATACCTTGCTGCGAACATGGTGCCTTGTACTTCATAGTTTAACTCTCATGACAAACATGCAGTTCAATTGTAAGTTCAAGTTAAGTTAGAAATGTAATTATCTTTTTTAAAATAGTAAATTTTAAAAATCATTTTGACTAAAAGTAGTGGACACCAAAAGTTGATGCTTCATTTTAATCAATATATTTGTTAAAATATCAGCATAAAATAAGAACCACTTTTATTAATTCAGTGTATGGAACATGGGGAATTACTGACCAAATGAATCTAGATTTCAGTTCAGAACATACTAGATCAGGGGTCCCCAATGCCCAGTCCGTGGACTGGTACCGGTCCATGGCATGCCAGCAACCAGGCCGCACAAACAAGCAAAGCCCCATCTGCGGGATGCAGGCAACACACAAAACCACACCCCCTCCGGTCCGCGGAAAAACCTCTCTCCACATAACCAGTCTCTGGTGCCCAAAAGGTTGGGGACCTCTGTACTAGATCATTACATAAAATATGCTCTGTGTCGACCATATCAACTCCACAGGTTTATACTGAATAGAGAATAGCAATGACTGGATAGGTAATATCTCCATTAGCAGCAGTATGCCTGAAAATACCTTTCATGCATCCAGCACCTAAGTTTAATTTAAAAATAAATTCTGTTCTTAAAAAGCAAATTGAAAAATTGACATACCTGAAAGAAAAGATCAATTTCTAAATGCATTTATTAGGAGTGCATGGCAGTTTTGAGTTCAAAACAATTGTTTTGAGTTTAAAATCAATTATTCTGACCTAAGCAGAAAAAAATGTTCCCATACTGGTTCCAACCAGTCTGATAATGTGCTGAGTTTGCAGTAACTCTGTTTTCAATTCAGATTGAGTCCAAACTTTTATGAAAGGGCTGGGGCACTTCCAATAAAGTCAGAACAGCTGTCTCTGACCCAAAATATAGATTATGGGTTTGAAACAAAGTATTTCTGAGAATTCAAAACATTTTTATTTTGATACATTTTGCAGATCACTTACATTTATTAGCATAGGCTGCACAAGCATTGTTAGCAAGTAGAAAACTGGATGGATATAGATTCCTTCTTGTGAGGTATGGCTACCTACACAGAAAAGGAAAACAGTGTTAAAGTGGAATAGTCATACACATCCTTAGGTGCTACTATGTCTTCTGGTATGTGTGTGGTTTGTGACTAACTATGTCCAACATAATACTTTGTTAAAGGATAGGTAGACTTACTCATTGTAGCCATTTTGTGAGAATATCCGTAAGCATCCATGATGTGCTTTCCAAATTCTGTTAACCCAAAAGATGCATTGCTTATTTCCAGTTTTGATAATGTTGATAAATCTTGATAAATATAGCTGTTGCTCCTCCTATATCAGGGGTGTCAAACTGCTGGCCTGCAGGCCGGATGCGTCATGCCAAAATCGTGCCCACCCCATTGTCAGCAATGGAAAAAAAGTTGCGACACATCGCGACACGTCACGTGACGTTGCGAGTTTGACACCCCTGTCATTTACCCATACAGCTTGTCTGCTTGTAACTACTGGCCCTTCTTTTGTTTTGAAAGTGGCAGATGGAGCTATGAAAGAGATCTTGTACCTTATGGCTAAGTATTTAAGACATTCACTAAGGCAGCTAGAGACCAAGGTCTCTTTTAAATAACAGAATGACACCTCTACTTTATTAACCCTCCTGGCATTAGGAACGACTTCAGGTACTGCCACGAATATGCAAATTAATCCGGATAGTTGGAAAGGAATGTATTTTAAAATTCAGAATTTCAGAATACTGTACATATAGAATAAACATGTTAGCAGTCATAGGTACTATAATTTAAGTTGAAGAAGAACCAACCTTTTATTTGTCTTACAGCTGGTTCTAGTAGTGCCATTACATCTCAGGAAAGTACTGCCCAGCTATTGGTATCAGATCCTAATCTTATTCATATTTTAGTGAAGTTTCTTTCTGGAACAAATCCCCATGGAACAAATCAACATAGTCCACAGGTAATATTTTTCATTCACTTCAATTCTTGTTGCTGATTTGATTTATATACCACCTTTATTTTTGTATAATTCAGGCCACCAGTTGGAAGCATGTATAGATAAATGTTAATCTTTTAAGAGAAATAATATGAGTATTCAAACCCACCAATTAACATTGTAGTTTTAAATGTGGATATTTAGATCTCTGTTCCCTTGAAATCAGAATGGGGTGCAATTTTAATCACATATCCTAAACATCAGGTTGATAGACAGTTTAACTATCATCCATCTATTCTTTAACAAAGTCTTTGAAATTATTTCAGACAATGTAGCTCTTCAGAATATAATTGCAAATACTTCTTCAAATCTCTTTCAGGTTGGCCCAACAGCCACCCAAGCTATGCAAGAATTTCTTACTCGTTTACAAGTGCATCTTTCTTCAGCGTGCCCTCAGATGTTCAGTGAATTTTTATTAAAGTTGATACATATTCTTTCAATTGAGAGGTAATATTTTATTTATTATAAATACCAAAATTTATAGTTTTGGACTATAGAAACATTGCATAGGTTTGTTTTTAGAATTTGTCAATTTTCAGATAGTGGATATTAAATTACCATTCTTTCTGACCTGTTAAACATAATTCTTTTGGACCGTGCAAAGTAAAATTCAAAGCCATCAGCATAAAATTCTGTTGGCAAGCCAAGAAAATGATTAAAATACTCATTAAAAAAATCCAACAGGAGCAATAGATGCAAACAATAAAGACTATATCTAAGATCATGGAAGTTATTTAGTGATGGTTGCATTGTTGTTCTTTGAAGTTTAAAATAAAAATGAGCGGTGGTTCAGAAAATGAATCAGAAACTAGGTGTATGCAAACGAAGGAAAGGGCTACTTCACAAACCATATTGGCTCAGGTACCCCTGCTTTACACAGTGCCCTTTTCAGATCTTTTAGGAAGTACTAAGAAACCAAAATCACAGGTTGGTGGGCCTGTTTCCCTAATCAATCCCTAGTTGCAATAGTACTAAGATTCCTTCAATATTACTGTTCTTTAAATCATTTGAAGCAGCAAGGGAAACAATAAGCTTTTCATCAAGTGTAATGATGGCCAACATTTTGGGTTTAGTTCTATTAGCTGCCATAGAACTCTTCCCAGCTCCCATAAGGAATTAGCTTAACCAAAGGCCTTCAAAGGTGTCTATGGTACAAAGAAACAAAAGAAGAAAATAATTTGAAGGAATGTATTATAAGACAAAGTGTCTCACAAATTTGGGAGTCCTCTGAGAATAAGTCCAAGGCTTTTACCACTAGCAATCGCCATCATGTTTTTATACTTTAGATTGAGGATAATTACAGCAAAAAGATTTAATTACATTTGCTAATATAGCATAATTCAGACTAAGGAATTAGTCTAAAGAGACAGCATGAATTTGTTAAGGAAGACAGGAATTTACCACAGTTACAAATTGATGGAATAATACAAAGTGACCTTAAGAAAGAAGGATGTGACTCTGAGAAAGATTACAGGATTTGAGAAATTTAGAATCAAGAGAAATTATTTGAATGTATTTATAGATATTGAAATATGATACAGAGACAGAATAAAGTAAATATTGTTCATTGAAGTGAATACAAAACATTAAAAAGAAGTAATTACAACAGCAAAATGGAAAAATTAATAAAATTCATTCCAACCTATAATTTAGGGGAAAATTGGTATAAAATGCATTATAGAAGGTATATAACTCCGTTATTGATTACCGTGAAAAGGTTATGCTGGAAATGCCGTAATAAAAAAGGACATTATATCACGTGATGATCATGCAAAAAAAAATCTCAGAAGTATTAGAAATATATAAATATTGAGAATTTTTTTCAAAATAAATTTGAACTAAAATCACAAATATTCTTATTAACAATAATTTTTAAAATAGAAATAAAAAGCATCATAATTTACTCAAATAGTAATAACACAATATTAAAATTGGTAAAAGGTTGGTAAAATGAAATTTTGCTGATGATAACAAGCTTGGGAGACCAAAATTGAAGAATCTGCAACGATGGGAAAACTGACAATATATTATTCATAAAAAGTTTAACTGAATATAACAGGAATGGCTCATTTATACATGGCATGCTACATAGCAAGGCAAAATTATGCACTTGGAATACGTTTTCTAGGGAAAAAATTAAAAGGTTAGTTAAAAATAATTGATGAAATGACTTAAAATATAAGCAACAATCTCCAGTGTTTATTGTTCAACATAAGTCATAAATATTTAAGTAATGGTTAGTGGTTGAAAAACATGGAAAATGAGAGAATGTGCTACTGAAAACTGTTTTTACAATTTTCTTTTATGTTCCGTTCCTTATTTTTTATTTTTGTCTCTTTTGGTACTTAGTTTTATTTCTATGCAGGTTTTTGACTAGGCTTATATAATAAAATATAAATGTACAGTATGTATATATGCATGTATTTTGATTTTTTCACCAGCCTAAATAACCCTAATTTTCATTTCCCTTTCTTTCTAGGGGTGCTTTCCAGACTGGCCAGGGTCCTCTGGATGCACAAGTGAAGCTTCTGGAATTCACACTTGAGCAGAATTTTGAAGTCGTTTCAGTGAGCACCATTTCTGCCGTTATTGAATCCATCACATTTCTAGTGCACCATTACATTACGTGTACCGACAAAGTAATGTCTCGTAGTGGTTCCGACAGTTCAGTGGGCGCGCGAGCCTGTTTTGGAGGACTCTTTGCTAATATCATCCGGCCAGGGGATGCCAAAGCAGTCTGTGGAGAGATGACCAGGGATCAGCTCATGTTTGATTTGCTCAAGTTGGTCAATATCCTGGTTCAGCTGCCTCTTTCAAGCAACAGAGAATATAGTGCTCGGGCTCAGATGGCCAGCAGCACCACGGACAGTGTTTCTGATGAAGAAAAGGTTTCTGGTGGAAAAGATAGCAATGGAAACAGTGGGAGTACTCAAGGCTCAACTATCTATGTAGCTGACCTAGTCTTAGCAAACCAACAAATTATGAGCCAGATTCTGTCTGCTCTGGGCCAATGTAACAGCAGTGCTATGGCAATGATAATTGGTAGGTATTTTAATTATGCATGTATAATTTCTGTAGCCTGCTTACCATCTCAAAAGATCAGAGCAGCTTGTGTGCAATTCCTAGGTAAACCATAATGCTACCTGCTGTAGCTCCAGCTACGCCCATATTTAAATAAGTTGGCTCTAGAGTTTTTGTTTGTTAAGAATACTCTGTATTTCAAATATATATCATGAATGAATGAATGAATGAATGAATGAATGAATATGTGTGATCAAGACATTTTTGCTCCTAGCAACTCTGCAGATGGATAAGCTGGAATAGCTCCGGTAACATGACAAATGTTTTTTATCCCTGAATTATTATAAGTAACTCAGTATATTTTTCAGCGAACTAACAAAAGAATTAGAAATGACAAAAACCTCAGTGTTAAACCCTGTTCTTTCCCACATACCAATCAATCTCAAGTTTTCCTTTAAAAATTATTTTTAAAAATGGAGGATGATGTGCAATAATTGGAAAAATATCCATACAAAATATAGAAATATAATACAAATAATAGAATAAAATGCAGTAGCCAATTAAGCAAAATAAAACCAATCAAAACAGAAATTGAATAATATTTCTTCTAAAACGCTTTAGCAAACTTATATATTTATTTATTAGATACACGTTCCATATTTCGTCCAGGAGCTCAAGATGACATACGTAGCACTTCATCCTTCAGTTTATACCCACTATAACAACTTTGCTGCTACCTGTGAAGTAACTTGAGCTGACCAGCCCAAAGTCAGCCCATGGTTCCTGGTCAATCTGAATGTCTTTCCCTGTTCCTAATCCACCAGTTTAATCACTATACCATAGTGTCTATTAATCTGGCACTGGAAAGAGTGCAGAGTTTGCAGCAGTCAAACAATTCTTGTAAGCATTCTAGAGCTGCTTTACTACATGAAGTGTAGTAAATATATATGAGAGAAGATACAGTTCCCACCCATGCCACCAGTACCAGTACTTTTATAAAGGATCTAAAACCTCAACATACTTGTTTCAGAAAAAGTTGTCCTTAATACGTGAATGGTTATGTTTGACTCAGTGGTCTGTCTGTAAATCAGCTTATGCAGGTTCATAAAGAAATTCAAGAAGATAGATCTTTGAGGGGAAAAAGGTCCAGCTCTCATAGTAATTTGCAAATGACAGCGTGAAGAACTGAAAATAATCTACTGTTATTGCTATTTGCTACCCACTGAAACCTACAAAAATGCACTGAAGATGGCATTATATATCAGCTTTTGCATTTTTGTTCTGTCATTAACATGCATAATAGCAAATTATGAGTATGCTAAACTTACTGTCTTGTATGCTATTTGTCCTTCAGCAAAAAACATGAGCTGATAATTTTATGTTACTTTTTTTTTTGAAAGGTTGAAAGATAATCCTGAATTAAATGGATAATGCTATCGTAAATATTTCACTGTTTAACAGTGCCTTCCAATTTATATTATTCTTTATATCCTAGGTGCCAGTGGTTTACATCTTACAAAACATGAGAATTTTCATGGAGGATTGGATGCCATATCAGTTGGAGATGGATTGTTTACTATCCTAACAACACTCAGTAAAAAAGCTACAACTGTGCAAGTGATGCTTCAGCCAATTCTTACCTACATGGCCTGTGGGTATATGGGAAGACAAGTAAGTGTTCAAAGTATTACCTTGTAATTGATTTCTGATCCTCTCTCTGCTGAAGAGTTTGGGAAGTTGTTTAGGCAGATAGTACTAATTACAGTCTTTTCTGTGTTATAAACTTGATTGAATTAAATAGGGATCCGCTGAAGAAAAGAAGCAATGAATGTTTAATCTAAATCTTTGACTGCTCAACTGGGTTAGTTGCTCTTCCATGTTCTTGTCAGTTAGTTCTTTTCTTCAGCCCAGCTATTAAACATGGAGGACTCCTTTAAACTACATTGAGATGAAAATATTAACTAATACTTTACTGATATAAGCTGTAGATATTACTATTTGCAATATGTATAATGGGCATTGACAGATTTATTTCACTGCTCTTCAGTTAATTTCAAACTTGTTCAATCATTGTGAGAATTGTGCTCTTTCATTTATTTTAATTGTTTAAAATAAAAATAGAAACAAACGGAAAAATGATCTGGCAGATCATTGTTCCTCTGTAGTATGAAGCCAACTTATATAGCTAACTTACCAATTGATTATGTACAACTAGGTAAATGTTGTTCTTTTTTTGTTTCCACTAGGGTTCTCTTGCCACTTGCCAGTTGTCTGAACCTTTGTTATGGTTCATTTTAAGAGTACTGGATACCAGTGAGGCACTGAAAGCTTTTCATGATATGGGTAAGGATCTTCTTTTCCTTTTTTTATAAATATTCTGAAATTACAATCCAAACGGGTTTGCACATGAGCTAAAAGGCCCCTTGTGTCCCTACCCAGCCTTCCCAATTTGTGTACTTCAGACTTTTGCACTTTTGCTCTAAGCGTTTTTGACTATTAAGAGAACAGGAGAAAAGAAGGGAGCATGTGAGTGGAAATAGTTGCAAAGAGGCTGGTCTCAAATAAATATGGTTTAAATTTTGATCAAAGAATTTTGAATATCCTCTCTTTGTGTAGGCATAATTTTTTCCAGATTTTTAATAAACTGTACTCGGCTTTTTGTCAAAACTGTTTAAATGGTAACTGATCATATTGTTATTCTCGGGATTTATTGACTTTCTTTCTTAGGAGGTGTTCAGCTCATTTGCAATAACATGGTGACCAGTACCAGAGCCATTGTAAACACAGCGAGAAGCATGGTTTCAACTATTATGAAATTTTTAGACTCTGGCCCTAGCAAGGCAACAGATGGTACTTTGAAAGCAAGAGTACTAGCTTCTGAGCCTGATAACGCAGAAGGAATCCACAATTTTGCACCATTGGGTAAGTTAGATACCCCTACGGTTTGGTATGATTTTGAAACATACAGGTTTCGTAGAATAGAATGTGTTGGCAGGCTTGGGGGGAACTCAGATTTTGCAAAATAATATTAAATTACTAGAGAAAACAGAAGGAATAACCTCACCTGGTGGTGGAGTACAGTAGGCACAAAATGTTACATTGGTATAGAAAGGAGGACTGTGCAGGGAGTTGTTATGATAATTTAAGGCAGACATGTCAAACTCACGACATCACGTAACGTCACACAACGTATCGGGAGAGTTTTGCCATTGCTGGCAATGGGTGGGCGCGGCTTCTGCATGACGCGTCCGGCCCATGGGCCGGCAGTTTAACGCCCCTGATTTAAGGTATCATGAAATAGGTTGGCTGAAATTCTGAACAAGAATTTTCATCACAAAATTTTGTTATATACCACAGTTCCAAAATTTGTAAGAACTGTACAGAATTTTTAAAGTTATATATCATCTAGTCTTTGGCTAAGGTTTGATATAACAGAATAACAGAGTTGGCAGGGGCCTTGGAGGTCTTCTAGTCCAACCCCCTGCCTATGCCATGCCAATCTCTTACACAATGAAAAACATGGAGAGATTTACATTGTAACTGCTTCACCATTAAATTTGATTTACATATGTTTAGTCATGTTCTAGTAAGTGTTATGTTTAGAGCTTCATTTGTGTACCAGCTCAGATAACATGATTTAAAGCCATTGCATTTAACCATAGTTTTTTGAATGAAAATCACTAGATGTTCCTCGTTTCATTGTAACTAAAAAATTTAAGCACTTTAGCATTTAATCTAAATTTCTGTTTCACAGTGACCAAGATTCCCATTATGATTTTTGGTTCAGAAACTGTGTCTCATTTTTTTGTGCATTTTGATGTGATAATCATTAGCAAAAATCTGTCTCCCTTTGCAAATACTTTTTGAACATAAAGTATTTTTAAAAAGCTGTTTAGTGTCTCCTCACCACCGACACCCCTGGGGGGAAAAAAAACAACCTTTCCAGAGACTTGTGGTTCAAATTTATATCAAGTGTTTTTTTATTGTTTAATGATATCTTTAAACATGGGAGCAGACTATGTAATTAGATGCTCTATCTTTCCCTGAGATCACAAATATTTCTCTGACAGGATGAAGCATGACTGAAAATTAAGAATCACAATTTATAAACATTTGTATTAAGTTTCTGTCTTTTCTTACTGTCTCCAGGGGAAATATATAGAAATTGCCTGTTGTTATGAAGAATGCATCTACTATTGCATTAATTTCTATCAACTAGTAAGGACAAAGATCATGTGAAATATATTTTTGTCGTAGGATTGAGGCCAGGGAAACTCCACTCCAAATCTTCCTTAACTTTCACCCAAGACAGCATTTCCTTAATAGCTGTCCTCTATAATACCTTCCCTTCTCCAGAATGGCCATAAAATGAAGTTTACACTTTCTTACTTGTTTAGGCAGTCAGTTCCACAGGCAATTACTTTCAGCAGAAACTAGATAGGAGATACTTAAGTTATTAGACACTTTGTGGGCCTATATATTCTGCCCAAAGATCATTATCAATTAAATTTCTGATATCATAGATGGTCTGATGACAGCCCTCATTTCTAAGATAATGGGGATGCTTTTTCTTAGAGACTTAATAATAATAATAATAATAATAATAATAATAATAATAATAATAATAATAATAATAATAATAATAATAATAGTAAAGTTGGAAGGGACCTTGGAGGTCATCTAGTCCAACCCCCGTGCTCAGGCAGGAAACCCTATACCATTTCGGACAAATGGCTGTCCAGTCTCTTCTTAAAAAAGTCCAGTGTTGGAGCATTCACCGCTTCTGGAGGCAGGTTGTTCCACTGGTTAATTGTTCTAACTGTCAGGAAGTTTCTCCTTAGTTCTTAGTTTCACTTGGGTGAAAGATGCCAGGAGAACTTCCTTGAGGAGTGTCCTTGATTACAGGCTTTCTCTGTATATCAGTTTTGGATAGAGATCACCCTATAAAATTAAATTTTAAAGTCTCCTTCTTTACAAACAATAGAGTGAGCCTCTCTCTAAGCGTTCATCAGTTACCATTTCGTTCATTCTGGAATATACAGTATAGGGAATTATCCATTCTCATTCTTGCTGTCTGATTTGATTAACAGTGCATCTATCTCTCTACTGTGCATACACTCAGACTCAGCCACAGTCAGTACTCAGAAAGATACAATGTAAATGCACAAAGCTAAAAGTAAAGATCTAAATTACATTATGTTTGCCTACCTAACGCAATAAGGTTAATCCATACGATGCCTTTTTCACACCAAGTCATTAGGAACCTTCACATGAACTGTGTAGCACTATCATTTTTAATGGAAGTGAAATACTCCGTGATTGACATCACATGTGCAATATTTATTTGTTCTAGTTCTAGCATATAAAGAACACTGAGTAAAATATATGTAGCCACAAATGTAGTTCAACTGCTTGCCCGTGGGCAACACCGATATTTTCTTTTTTTCTCTTCTCTTTTGGCTTTTTGATAATTTGCAAGTTTATCTGGCGTGTTTTTTAAATTCATGGCAATTATTTATTGAAGGCTCAATTACGTCAAGTAGTCCTACAGCCCAGCCTGCTGAAGTATTGCTGCAGGCAACTCCACCACATCGAAGGGCTCGATCTGCCGCTTGGTCTTACATCTTTCTACCTGAGGAAGCCTGGTGTGACCTTACAATTCATCTCCCTGCTGCAGTGTTGCTAAAAGAAATACATATTCAGCCACACCTTGCCTCTCTTGCAAGTAGGTATCCTTACAATACCTCATTTGTTGTTGTACAGTAAAGAAACTCTTTTGAAGTAGCATTACTGTGAGAAAATAAGAGTGCCAGTAACACAATCTGATTCTAGGTTCCATCTTAAAGATCTTAAACAATAAATCAACTTGCTGGGTCTATGCCAAATAATGTGCAGTTTTAAATCTATTGTAAAATTCATACTTGGAAGAAAGTGTCTATCTTAAAAGATCTGACAAAGTTCTAGATGCTAAAGTGGACAACCTTCAAAATTCTTACATTTATTATCAACATTATATAGAGTGTGGAAAACAAATAAATTAAAAGTCATGAGATAAAAAGAAACATAGCTATAGTTTATATCAAAATTGTTCACCATCTTTTGTCCTCCATCCATGCTTCTGCTGTGCTTATACACTATACCTTTTTAAATGTAAGTTTATGATCTTTTCTTAATTTAGTTTTAGTTTTAATTTCCTTGGAGAGAGAAACTCCTTATATTTAAAATTTGATTCATTGATGGTACCTTTTTTTATTTGACCTATACATACCAGCTACTTCTCTGTTGGTTTTGAGTAACCTAAAAGCTGTCTTAAGATATTTGGCCCTCTCTTTCACTATAGTCTTACCTACTTCCTCATTCTGAGAAGATTCAAATGTGTTAGTGAGTCTAGTCAGTTATAGACATTAATAGCAGCCATTTGTTTTTGATAATCTCAATACTTTTAGGATTATAATTCTGTCTTCCCTTGGTTAGTTCAATAACTGACTGTTCCAGGTGCTATGAGTGTGTATAGACATATGCCACAAGATTTCATAGTTTTAAATATGCAATAGCATATAGGCTTATAGTATATACCGTCCCATAGTGCTTTACAGCACTGTCTGAGTGGCTTACAATGTAAGCATTATTTCCATATTGCCCCAACAATCTGGGTCTTCATTTTACCAACTTGGGAAAGATGGAAGGCTATTGCCATTCAATATGTGAATGTTTGTATTTCTTTCATGTTTTAAAGTAATGAAATTGATGTCTGTAAATTTTGTTGTGCATATAAATATACGTGAACACTCCTATCTCTACAGCATGCCCTTCTTCGGTATCTGTTGAAATAAGTGCAGATGGGGTGAATATGTTACCTTTGTCAACACCTGTTATCACAAGTGGTCTTACCTACATAAAAATACAGCTTGTGAAAGCTGAAGTTGCCTCAGCTGTGTGTCTTCGCCTTCATCGCCCACGGGATGCTAGCACGTTAGGACTATCTCAGATTAAACTACTTGGACTCACTGCCTTTGGTAATACTTCCTCTGCAACAGTCAATAATCCATTCCTTCCTTCTGAAGACCAGGTATCTAAAACAAGGTATGTTTTATCAGTAGAGATATCAGACTAATTCGTTTTTCCTGCGTGAAACAGTTTTGCTATATTATAAGACTTAATGGATATTATTATTCATACTGTCCCTCCAGCAAACCTCAGGCTAGCAGGGGAGAGGGAAATTGTGTGGAGTTATGCCGAATCACATTTCTCTAAAGATCATTGCAAGTTTGACAATCAGGCTTGAAAATAAACTTCTAGTTGCAGTTTTCGTACAGATTGTATCTGTTCCTGTAATGGTATTTGAAAAAGACTTTGGGAGGCAGAGCAAAGAGACTCTGCCTGGGGAACGAACAGATAAGAGACTGCATAGCCCACAATTGGGTAACTGGGTGGGGCAAGATGCTCACAAGAGACTCTCCCTAATTTCTCAGGCGGTAAAGAAGATGATAGGAGAAGTGTATTTTCAGGCTTGCAAGATTCTGTTAACATAGTTTTATAATAAAGTAGAATTAGCTTATCTAGTCATCTCCTATTTGGTCTACCTAGTAAGGCTGACGGTCCCCTATGGCGACTAGACTTCCAACAAAAATTTGAATTTTGTTGACATTTGTTGGCTTAATATGTAAGCCTTTAATGGTTATTATACCTTTGTTCGTTTTCTGAAATCTGTAATATTTTTTTCACTAATTAGATTTGGGAAATAACCATAAATAATTCTTTTCTGTTCGGGGGAAGCATTGGATTATAAATTTAAGCCTCACAGACAATTTGTAAGGCATGAAGATTCAAATTTCTGACAAGCAAGTCCAGAATAATGTTTTTTATGCTCTGTAGTTTTAAAATTTAGATTTTAAAGTTTCATACCATTCTCATTGTAACTCGTACTAATGTGACCTAACATAAACAGTCCTGGCCTGTAATTTTGATTTGAGGAGCTTTGAACAGGTTAACCTCTCCATGAGAATAACTTCTGAACTTCAAGTCTAAATATCTTAACAGGGGTTTCTTTCAAAAGAAATACTACTGTTATTTTCATATTTTTTAAATAAATTGGATAAACCTGCAAGGGGGAGGGGGAACAGTACTTTTTGATTTTCCACTCCAACTTACATATTAATTATTTTTCGTGTTGAAGTCAAGATGGAATCTGTTTTAATTGTGCTTCTGTCTTTTCCAGCATTGGATGGTTAAGGCTGTTGCACCATTGCCTCACTCACATAAGTGATTTAGAAGGAATGATGGCTAGTGCTGCAGCACCTACTGCCAACCTCTTGCAGACATGTGCTGCTCTACTGATGTCACCATATTGTGGCATGCATTCTCCAAATATTGAGGCTGTGCTTGTAAAAATTGGACTTCAGTCCACTAAAATTGGCCTCAAATTAATTGACATTCTTTTAAGAAATTGTTCTGCCTCTGGGAGTGACCCTACAGGTAAGAAAATAGTTTGATCTCTTTCTAGTTTTAAGCTTGCTGAGACTTCTTTTCACAAAAAAAGGAAGTATATTAGTAGATTATCATGCATTTACATATAGTGAGATGTGAAAATATGTCTTGATTTTTCCAATTCTGTGTTTTCAAACTGTAATTATCATAAGTAAGAACTTGGGGAAATGTTGTTTTTCTTAATTAAAACTATTAAAATATCTTGGCAGGCCAGTGAATTATATATTATATCATCCTTAGTAAATTTCCTTTTTTAACTTTCGTTTATATGAGAAGATTTGAACAGCCCCTTGCTTTTTGGAAGATTGAATGGCCTGTCTTCTGACTCCACAATTGACATTCTCTATCAGCTTGGGACGACTCAGGACCCTGGAACAAAAGAAAGGTAAATATTTTCTTTTTAAACAGACATACTTAATTGGACAAATTTGAGATCTATAAATTGTATCCTTCCTTTCTTCTTCACAAACATATCTTTGTAATCTAATTTGGATGCAGCCATTTTGTATGCATAGTTGCAGTTCTGCAGTATACATGGGGATATTGCTTATTTGAACTTCAGCCAATAGAGACTAGTATATTTGACATTTGGGAATTAGAACAAAATTTGCTCTTAGTCGGCAAAATAGATAGCAGCCTCCTTTTTGACTTTGAGTTTCTTGTCAATAAGTTAAAATATACTAAAATTCCAAATTCCCCTCTGTGAGGGGAGCCTGTATGTGTGAATCACTGAACATAAGACAAGATATAAAAGCCAGAACAAATTAGTGATATTGTTTGATTGTTGTGAGCTGCCCAGAGTCATTGAAAATCAGGCATATTACAAGTTTAATAAATTGTGGCTGGTCACACAGTCAGCCATATATTTAGACTGAAATTGACATGTTTGTCCACCTATGAAGTCTTTCCCAAGAACCTAGAATAGGTAGATGTTGTTGTTATTAAATAATTTTTGGTTTGAGATTATTTTTTGCTTATGTGCTGGTTTAAAATTTATTTTTTCTCCTACATTAATATTCATATTTTCTTAAATCTGTTGCACAGTATTGTTACTATGCATTATTGTAGCGCTATTGTGTTTTTATTTTTGTGTTTTGTTTTTATATGTGAGCCACCAAGAGTCATTTTGATAGCGGCAGCATAGAAATAGATTCCACAAATATACCTTAAAAGGCTCCTACCCTCGTAGCCTTCCAGAAAGCTGTGAAAACTTGTCATTTATCCCAGATATTTAGGCTAGAATGGGGAGGAACTGATGGATATTAGGCCACCATGGTAGGGAATGTATGAGTGACATTATTGTTTAAATTGTTTTTCTGGTGAGCTGCTTAGGATTATTATATATAAGACAGGTGGCTATATATGTTTTACAGATAAATAAATATGCCTACCATATGCTTTCTTAATGTATTTCCATCTTCTAGAATTCAAGCGTTGTTGAAATGGGTCAGTGATTCTGCAAGAGTTGCAGCCATGAAAAAAAGTGGCCGAGTTAACTACGTCTGTCCAAACAGTTCTACAAGAGAATATGGTCTTCTCATGCCATCTCCTTCACATTTGCATTGCGTAGCAGCAATTTTATGGCATAGCTATGAATTGCTTGTAGACTATGACTTGCCAGCATTGTTGAACAGAGACCTTTTTGAGTAAGTAGCCTATGCATTAGTTTTACTAAGTGACAGAGGTCTGGACTAGAGCTCCATGTGTTGTTGTTGTTGTTTTTAAATCTCTGCAATGCTTGAGTGCCACAAACACTCAAGTACTTAAAACATAAATTGCTGATGTAATAAAACTGTATCCACAAAAAGTGGCTTTCCCAATGAGTCCACCAGTCCTTTGCTCTTTACATGTAAGTTTTACTGATTTTTTTTTCATACGTTTTTGACGAAAAGCTGGTACAAGTAGTCCTCAGCTTATAACCATTGTTGAGCGACCGTTCAAAGTTACAACAGTACTGAAAAAAGTGACTTATGACTGTTTTTCACACTTGTTACTGTTGCAATATCCCTCCATGGTCACCTGATCAACTCAGATGCTTGGCAACTGGAAAGTATTTATGATAGTTGCAGTATCCCAAGGTCATGTGATTCCCCTTCCCCTTTGGCAACCTTTTGACAAGAAAATCAATGAGGAAGCCAGAGTCACTTAACAACCATGTTACTAACTTAATAACTGGCAAAAAAAGGTCATAAAATGGGGCAAAACCGACTTAACTTTTGCTTAGCAACAGAAATTTTGGGCTCAATTATGGTCATAAATCGAGGACTCCCTGTATTGTAATTTTTTTAAAAAAAACATGCACAAAGCTAAGTGATTGTTATGATCATTATCATTCAGAAATATGGAACTAGTTTTCCATATACCTTCATAATCCAATAGGATTTTCCTGCTTGTTTGGACAATGTCTACTCTAGCTCTTGTGGAGAAGTCTTCTTAGTTTTCACTTCAAATGTGGGTATTTTTAAGATGCAGTGAAAGTTTTGATTCTGTACTAGTATAGGCCAGTGGCAAGGGTTCTATAACTGCAATTCCAGAACAGGTCTATTTACCTATAAACTTGCTTTTCTTGGGAAGTGTTAATCTTCAGAAATTCAATTTAAAAATGTACATCTCTTAATTGGCAGGTCTAGTCCCTTTTAAGGCAGTCACTTATTTTGTGGCATCAAGAGTATACGAAATTTAACTGTACAAATATTTTCAGGAGGATGTGCATTCAAATAAACCCCAAGTCCTGAACAGAACCATAGTAGTTTAGCCTGAATCTTCAGTATCTTCAGATAATGACGAAGGAATATATGATAATCTAGATCTGTAGCTACGCCACAGGAAAACTTCATCAAATTTATAGTTCCAGAGCTTCAAATTAATGTAAATTGGAGACAATAATACTTTGAGAAAAAAGAATTTGTATGAAAAGTACCTGGCATATTAGATTTAATTGATTTTATGCCTCCCTTTTTATTTGTTGACATAAGCTTTTTAAAAAAATCTCTTGTTCTGCAACTATAATTGCAAACCAGTAGCTATTGGCCTCAATAACTTCCCTAGTGACTCAAAATTCATATTATCAATATTTAGTCATGCAGTGTGCTTTTTCTGTTGTCTGTGTTTAAATAGAACGATTGAATTCAAGGCTAGTTTATGTGTAATTAATATATACAGTTTTCTAATTTAGTTTTTTTTCTTTCTCCTTAGGTCTCTGTTTAATTGGTCCATGTCTCTTCCGTGCAATGTGGTTTTGAAGAAAGCTGTTGACAGTCTCCTTTGTTCTATGTGCCATATTCATCCAAATTATTTTTCCTTACTCATGGGGTGGATGGGTATTACTCCTCCCCCTATCCAGTTGCAACATAGACTGTCTATGACAGACGACAGCAAAAAACAGGATCTTACTTCGTCTTTAACAGATGACTCTAAAAATGCACAAGCACCCCTTGCACTAACTGAATCGCACTTGGCCACTCTTGCTGCCTCATCACAGTCCCCTGAAGCTATTAAACAACTATTGGACTCAGGGTTGCCCTCCCTCCTTGTAAGAAGCCTTGCAAACTTTTGCTTTAACCATACTTCTGCCTCTGATTTCAGTGCTCCATCAACCGATAATTCCCAAGACAGGATCAGAAGGCATCACGTTCCACAGCACTTTCATAAAATGCCTATAACAGCAGATTTAGTTGCCCCTGTTCTCAGATTCTTGACAGAAGTTGGAAACAGCAACCTTATGAAGGACTGGTTAGGTGGCTCTGAAGTCAATCCACTATGGACAGCACTTTTATTTCTACTCTGCCATTCTGGTGCTACTTCTGGAGGACATGCTACAGCACCACAACAGAATAGTGCTAGACCTACTTTGCTTACTTCTTGAAGTCCTTATCCTGACTGATGAGTCGTCTCTTGTCGGTAACTTTTACGCTGGCAACGTAAAAAGAACGTCACATAAAGAACGGTAGGATTATTAGTTTCTAACTACCGAGTCCATTGTATTTGCAATTAGACTTATCAACTACATCGTATTTTATGGTGAAATCGACCTAAACCTCCTGACCAACTCTCGCAGAGAGAGATTTCCTTGTGGTGTGGCCAACTCTTCTATTCTGGCACCTATGATGAGATCAGAATTCAGTAAATGTGCAGGACAGCACAGTCATCTTACAGAATAAAGATTCTGGAACTGCTGAGATTCTTATGCTACTGCATAACATGGGAAGCAACTTCAAGAACTTAGCAATAGCAAATTTTATTACAGATCAAAATGGGTTCTAGCTGTGTTAGGAATCGAGAATGGCTTGCTTCAAAGTCTGGGCTCTTTGGGTAAGGTTGGAATAGCCCATTCCAATAGCGGGATGTGAGTTTAGGGAACTTCCTCCAGATATGCTCTGTCTAAAACAGTGGTTCTCAACCTGTGGGTTGGGACCCCATTTGGGGTCGATCGACCATTTCATGGGGGTCGCCAAGCAAGGCTGTCCGCCATTTTTTTGTCCGCCATTTTTTTTGTCCGCCATTTTTTTCCGCCTTTTCCGGCAGGTGCCTTACCTCCCTTGGGCTGGGCCAGCTGGTGGTCGGCCTGCTCCGTCTCTGCCGCTTGCCAGCTACGCCTCGGCCGGCGCAGGGGGCGGAATCACGCATGCGCGGTGCTCCCGGGCAGGGAAAGTCCTCGACTTACGACCGGTTGGGTAGTCCTCGACTTATGACCGGTTTAGTCCTCGGCTTATGGCCGGTTTAATCCTCGACTTACGACCGGTTGGGGTCGCGGCATTAAAAAGGTTGAGAACCACTGGTCTAAAGGACCTAATTCTGCTGAAGCTGATTTAAGGAAAGGAAAATGGGGAAACTGATAGATCAACAAATGTATGCCCTGTTGTAGATTAGATCAACAAATGTATGCCCTATTGTAGATACAACCAAATAAATATTCATAGCTCATGGATACTTATACGTCTGCCTAAATTTGTTTTCATTCCTTTCATAGGTTCTTTGTGAACTTTTCCATTCCTCTCCTCAAAGAAGCAATCTCCCAACATCTGGAAATATTTCAGGGTTTATTAGAAGGCTTTTTTTGCAGCTGATGCTAGAGGATGAGAAAGTGACAATGTTTCTTCAGTCACCTTGCCCAGTAAGTAATCTCCCCACATCCACGAGTACCACTGCTACCTACCCTCATTGCTAAGTAAAACTCACAGTAGGTTGAAAATAAAACTTTATAACATCAGTTCCTACTAAAAAGGAAATATTAAAATATATATTTTCCAGCCCTGATGATGTAGATTAGCCTTGCCCAACCAATAACTACATATTACACAGTTCTTTTACAATATACAGTTATTCCAATTTTATTCATAATAATCACTGATTCTGTAAGTTGCCCATATGCATAATCCTGTTCTATAGAATTCCTTATACTAAAATTTAGAAATCATAACTTGAAATCATAAGGTGCAAAAGAAGAAGAATGTGTGCTTCTCATATCTTGACAAATCCTATATTTTACCATCTGTTAATATTAATTATGCTTCAGTTACTAGTGTAATCCATTTCCATGTTAATTACTTAATCCAATTGCCATTCATTGCTCCTGAATAATGAGATCATCTCTATTATTTTTTTGTTGTGTAGCATGTGCTATTCCTTTCTTTTTTCCTTTTCAAGTAAAGAAGTTTAGAATATCAGTTTCATCTTGGTAGCTATTCACTGTAAATCATTGTAATTAATCTATTTCTGAACTCTTTTTTTAGTAGTGCTTTAATAAAAACAGTATACCCTATTTATTTTAAAAACTCAAGGTCATAAAAACAGCACAAAACTTCTGTACTTTTTAGAATTATTAATTAGGTAATATGGCAAATAAGGTGATGGTAGAAGTGATGGTTGGTGTTCAAGTTCTGGACTCTTTGTTTAGTTACTGTGTCAAAATAAAATCTGGGACTGGAATTTAGTTATACTGTACAAAATGATATTTTGAGAATGTCCTAATTTAGTTGTTACTCAGCTCATTTGTAAGCTGTTGAAATCCCCCGAATCAAATAGTATTCTATAACTAGCATCCATTAGAGCTTATTTATTTATTTTATTTATTAATACAGTTTGTTTAGCCTCCCATCTCACATAAATCAACTCTGGTTGGCACGGAACAATAATATAAAACAACAAATGCAAAAATATAAAATTCATGTTAAGCGGTAAATATAAAAATGAATATATAACCCCTAGGCAAAGAGTGGGTAAAAATGGCTGCTTCGGCAATGGAGCCATCTAAGCATGTCTCCCATTCCCAGGCCTGATAATATAACCAGGTTTTTAAGGATTTCCACAATGATAAAAGGGATGGAGCTACACCAGCCCAGTGGCAACTTCTTTGTTCCTGTTATCTCTCTACTCCCTCTGCCTAAGCACTTGGCACATTGAGGTGTTAGTTCCTGGAATCAAGTTTGAAAGAAGCTGCTTGTCTTTGGAGAGTTGTCCCTGAAACACCCCACATCCCTGTTCTTTTTTAAAAAAATAAAAAGATAATTTGTTTTGGGGGTTCCTGGACAGGATAGGCTTTCTGTTGCTATTGACAAATAACCTCCAGTCACACATTTACCCAAAAAGAAAAAGTTATCTGATCAAAAGAACCAAATAATAATAATAATAATAATAATAATAATAATAATAATAATAATAATAATAATAATAATAATAATAATAATAATAATAATAATAATAATAATAAAGTTGGAAGGGACCTTGGAGGAAACCCTCAGACAGAGGAAACCCTCAGACAGATGGCCGTCCAATCTCTTCTTAAAAACTTCCAGTGTTGGAGCATTCACCACTTCTGGAAGCAGGTTGTTCCACTGGTTAATTGTTCTAACTGTCAGGAAGTTTCTCCTTAGTTCTAGGTTGCTTCTCTCCTTGATTAGTTTCCATCCATTGCTTCTTGTCCTGCCTTCAGGCGCTTTGGAGAATAGCTTGACTCCCTCTTCTTTGTGGCAGCCCCTGAGATATTGGAACACTGCTATCATGTCCCCCCTCATGCTTCTCTTCGTTAAACTAGACATACCCAATTCCAGCAGCCGTTCCTCATATGTTTTCTCCCTCCCCAGCCAACCACCCTGTCCAGGAACCCTCAGAACAAAAGATCTTTAAAGAAAAAGGAAGTGAACCAGGGTATGGGGTGTTCCATGTGCAGCTTGTTCCAAACTTGACTTGGTGCACTAGCATTTCAGAGGCTGCCTCCCTGCTTGCCTTCATTTTTTCCCCTCCTCATTATTTTTGGCCAAGCTTTGGTAAATGGATAGTTTCAAAAAAGCCCCCACCCTTCCATTCTCAAGTCTTGGAAAGTTCAGTTTTCTGGGGTTTGATCTGTTCCTTTGGGGCATGCTGCTCACTGCTGGTGTGCTGCTCCTAAGAGAGGAGGAGAAGAGAGACTGCAAAAAGAGAGAGAAGCTTGCTGGGTGCCTTAGCAAGTTTGGAAAGGAGATGACCGGAACAGGAGCCACACCTCAGCTGAGTGTGCATACACATATGGGGGAGGAGGCAGAAACAGGAAGAGAGTGAGCATCTGTAGCTGATAAAGCTTCTGGATACTCTTCAAGGGCAGTTTCATGCTGCAATAATCCAGTATGGAGGTGATTAGTGCATGAGTGACTATAAGCAGGGCCTGCCAATGCAGGAATGGACTCAATTGGTACACGAGATGAAGCTGTGCAAAAGTTCTCCCAGCCACAGTTTCATTGAGCAGGAGCTGTGAGTCTAGGGGGAATCCCAGATTCTACACAAACACACACGTTGAAATGTTTACGGCCTTTTTATTTCTAAATCCTTAAAATAATTTTATGTTTCTTAACTTTTAGTTGTATAAAGGAAGAATCAATGCTACCAGCCACATAATTCAACATCCAATGTATGGGGCAGGACACAAGTTCCGTACTCTTCTTTTGCCAGTCTCGACAACACTGGCAGAGGTTCTTGATCGAGTATCAGGTAAGTTGCTTTTATTAAATAGGTATTTTTTACTCTAGTCTATGGAAAAAAGTGTCTGTCTGTCTGTCTGTCTGTCTGTCTGTCTCTCTCTCTCTCTCTCTCTCTCTCTCTCTCTCTCTCTCTCTCTCTCTGTATGAAAGAAGCCTTTCATTGATGGATTTATACATAAATGCATTTTATTTCATGTATTAATTTATTGCTCAACACAGAATTATCTGTGGTAGAATGTATAATAAAAGGTGTATTTATATCAGGGCTGAAGAGTACATCTGTATTGTTCTGTAATATTCTTTATTTAGCAGTCTTTTCATTAAAGTGACTTAATATTTAAGAACCAGATACTGCTCAAAACTCATATTTAGAAAGATGTTATAGAGAAAAAAATATTTCACCAATATATTACTATAATTTAGAAAGCTATAATTATATTACTATAATTTAGAAAGTTTAGACAGCATCACCACCTGATGGATTCATAGCTGGTTGACCGGCCATACTCAGCTTGTGGTCCTCAATGGAACTGCATCTGCATGGAGTGTGTAGTGGGATGCCCCAGGGCTCTGTTCTGGGCCCAGTGCTCTTCAATATCTTCATCAATGATTTGGATGAGGGGATAGATGGGGAACTCATCAGATTTGCAGACGACACCAAGCTGGCAGGAATAGCCAACATTCCAGAAAATAGGCTTAAGATACAGAAGGATCTTGACAGACTTGAACATTGGGCGCTATCTAACAAAATGAAATTCAATGGTGAAAAAAGTAAGGTTCTACATTTAGGTAAGAAAAACCAAATGCATAGGTATAGTATAGGGGGTACCTTGCTCAATAGTAGTAACTGTGAGAGGGATCTTGGAGTCCTAGTGGACAATCACTTAAATATGAGTCAACAGTGTGCTGCAGTGCCAAAAAAGCCAACACAGTGCTAGGCTGCATTAATAGAGTTATAGAATCAAGATCACGTGAAGTGTTAATATCACTTTACAATGCCTTGGTAAGGCCACACTTGGAATACTGCATCCAGTTTTGGTCACCACAATGTAAAAAAGATGTTGAGACTCTAGAAAGAATACAGAGAAGAGCAACAAAAATGATTAGGGGACTGAAGAGTCAAACATATAACTAATGGTTGCTGGAACTGAGTATATCTAGTTTAATGAAAAGAAGGATGAGGGGGGACATAGCAGTGTTCCAATAGCAGTGTTGCCACAAAGAAGAAGGAGTCAAGCTATTCTCCAAAGCACCTGAAGGCAGGAGAAGAAGCCACGTATAGAAAGTAATCAAAGAGAGAAGCAACCTAGAACTAAGGAGAAATTTCCTGACAGTTAGAACAATTAATCAGTGGAACAACCTGCCTCCAGAAGCGGTGAATGCTCCAACACTGGAAGTTTTTAAGAAGAGACTGGACAACCATTTGTCTAAAATGGTATAGGATTTCGTGCCTGAGCAGGGGGTTGGACTAGATGACCTCCAAGGTCCCTTCTAACTTTTATCATCATCATCATCATCATCATTATTATTATTGCAAATGTAAAGAACATGGGACCTGTTGGTTTGAACTACAGCACCCATTATTCATAGTTGCAAGACCAAGGTGAGATTTGGCTGGCTTTAGAACAGAGGTCCCCAACCTTTTGGGCACCATGGAGAGAGATTTTTCCACAGACCGGAGAGTGCATGATTTTGTGTGTTGCCTGCATCCCGCAAATGGGGCTTTGCTTGATTGTACAGACCGGTTGCTGGCGTGCCGCGGACTGGTAGTGGTCCATGGATCGAGGGTTGGGGACCCCTACTTTAGAATATATAATAATATTACCAGAATGTATATTCAAGTTGCATCAGTTCCACCTTATTTTCTTCCTATTTATTATTGATTTCACTACTGAACAAATCTTGTACAAAAGAAGTACTTCACAATGTACACACACACAAGCACACCACCTCTCTTTGATTATAGTATCTCTTTTGCAGGCTTATGTGATTATGTTGAAAGCTGTTCTTGGCCTTCTCTGCATGCATGTCCACATACAGCCACTTCATTTTGTTGCAAAGCATTTCTTTCAAATGCTTTCTATAGTCCTAGAGTGTGTGTGTGTGCGTGTGTGTCTGTGTGTGTATACATACACCTTTAGATACATAACTAAATAAATAATGTTTTCTACATAATATAATATTTTGTTTTCAGATACTCCTAGCATCACAGCAAAATTAATTAGTGAACAAAAAGAAGACAAGGAAAAAAAGAATTACGAAGAAAAAGAGAAAGTTAAAGCAGACAGCGGGTTTCAGGACAATTACAGTGTTGTTGTTGCATCTGGTATGTCTACTTTTATTTTATGTCAAGTTATCATGACTGGGATGGTATGAAGAATAGTAAGCTAACTTTAATATTATATTTAATACTTCTTTTTAAAACAATGTCAGCTATCCTGGTGGATTGCAATCATTAGGCAGAAGATTGGAATGTGGTAGTTTACAACTTAATAAAGTTATGCCATGTGTTCAAGCATTAATGTAAAGGTGAATGAGGCACTGGGTATGGCATTGGACAAAGGAAATCCCAAACATTTTTCATGATCACTGAAAGTTTCCAAGTCTACAACTCTCTCCTGCCTTCCAGAAGAAATAGCAGGGAAAAAAAACCCACCAAAATTGAATGGAGATAGGCTGAGAAGACGGATAACAAAACTAAATGAAGTTTGGGAAAGGAGTATTAATAATTGGATAGGGAAGAAAAATACAGTTTGCCCTTTACTTATATAGGCTGAGTGCAATGAGGCTGGACCTGTGGAAAAGAGGAGAGTGATGACTCTACAAAAATGTATATAAAATCCTGGGGTAGAAGATGCTTTCCAGCTAAACATTCAAATAGCAACCTCTGTTAGGTGGGCATAGTGGACAATGTAGGATAGTGTTTCCCTTACAAATACGACAGTCGTTATATGTTTTTGAACCCTTTTGAATTTTCAACATGTCTGCTCAAGTATGATCTGTTCTCCCCACAAGTCCTAAAACTAAAGAGAACCCAATTAAGCACAAAACTGAACTACCATGTTTCACAGATGAGATAAGGTTCTTATGCTGGAATGCAGCGTTCACCGAACACAACTCTTTTCATTTAAGCCCAGAAGTTCTATTTTGGTCTCATCCATCCGCAGAACATTCTTTTATTGGCCTTCTGGCTTATTCTTGTGGTCTTTCACAAACTGTAGATGGGCAGCATTCGTGTTTTGTTTTTGTTCTGAGAGTATTGGCTTTCTCCTTGTAGCCCAGCCAGGCCTACCATTGTTGCTCGATGTTCTCCTGATGAGGGTCTCATGAACACTGACGTTCAGCAATGCAAGAGAGGCCTTTAGTTACTTAGATGTTATTCTGGGCTTCTTTGAGACTTCCCTGATTATTACACACACCTTGCTTTTGGTGTAATCTTGGTTGGCCAACCATTCCTGGGGAGGGAAATAACGATGCTGAATTGTCTCCAGTTGTACACAATCTGCCTGGTGCAGTCCAAACTCTTGTCAATAGTTTTTTAACCTTTTCCAGCCTTTTCCATCAACAACTGTTTTTCAGACATCCTCAGATATCTCCTTTGTTCAGGCCAAGACATACTTCCATGTACCTGTGTCACGAAGGTTAGGCTTTTGCCAAACATAAATATATGAGCAGCAGGGGGTTGGACTAGATGACCTCCAAGGTCCCTTCCAACTTTACTACTACTACTACTACTACTACTACTACTACTACTACTACTACTACTACTACTACTATTATTATTGTTGTTGTTGTTGTTGTTATTATTATTATTATTATTATTATTATTATTATTATTATTATTATTATTATTATTATTATTTATCTTTGGATTATTTCCCCGAATAAATAAAAGGAATAAGTATAATGTGTTGTTTTTTTAATTGAGCTCTCTTTATCTAGTTTTAGGACTTGTATAGAGAACAGATCATGGTTTGGTTATATTTATGCAGAAATTTAAAAGGCTCATTAACTTTTAAGCATCAGTGTAAACATTGTTGAGTTGCATTGAAAAGTGTATAAAATGTAACCCTTCACTTTCATTATAGGTTTGAAATCTCAGTCAAAAAGGGCTGTATCGTCCACCCCACCTCGTCCACCTTCAAGACGAGGGAGAGTGGTGACAGATAAAGTAGGCAGCTCTGCCACAGGAAATGATTCTTCCAGCAAAACTATTAGTGTTCCTGTTTTTCACCTATATCATAAGCTGCTACCAGGTAGAGTTCTGCTTTTTTTTTTTTATTAGACCATGTTTTTCAAGAATTCTAAGGTACATAAAATGATGTTGAAGATCTGCACATTTTCTCAGATTCACTGTAAAGAAACCTTGATCTAAAAAACAGAAGCTTTCTAATAAAATGAAATAGTCCTATGCAACATTGTAACCTTAGCATTATAGACATGTCTAGTGTTCACGGATAAACTTACATTTGAATCAGTTATTTGATTCAATATATGATGTAGTGTAGTAATCTGTTTGGGTAAATATGTGTTGATCACATTTTCTTAAACAAGTATTATAATAGCATTTCAGTATTTATCCAGACTAATATTGTATGTGTAGTTTTATACAGGTAGTCCTTGAATTATAACCATTCTTTTAGTAACCGTTCTGTTATGAAGATGCTGAAAAAAGTGGCTTACAACCGGTCCTTGCACTTACAACTGTCACAGTATTCTTGTGGTCACATGATCAAAATTCGGGTGCTTGGCAATTAGCATGTATTTATGATTGCAGTGTCCCAGGGTAATGTGATGTCATCTGCAACATTCCCAGGGGACCTCTAACAAAGTCAATAGGAGAAGCCGGATACCCTTAATGACCTTGGCAGAAAAGGTCATAAAATTGAGTGTGACTCATTTAATGATCGCATGGATTAGGAGTGGAAATTTTAATCCCAATTGTTGTTATAAGTCAAGGACTACATGTAACAGAGATTTTTTTCAATATTACTGGGAAATCTGAGAAACGAAGCTTAACCGTGCTTAAGGATGTGCTATAGCAGACATGTCAAACGTATCGAAACTTTTTCTCCACTGCCAGCAATGGGATGGGCGCAGTTTCCTCGTGACGCGTCCAGCCCACGGGCTGGCAGTTTGACATCCCTGTACTATAGGAACTGATTGCCTAGCACAGTGATGGCGAACCTTTCATAGACCGAGTGCCCAAACTGCAACCCAAAACCTACTTATTTATCGCTGGGTGCCAGATGGGCGTAGCCCACTGGGTGGGCGTGGCTGTGGTCATGGCAGATTGGGTGGGTGTGGCCAAGGTGGGCATGATCACCTTGATGTTGCTCGTGGAGAGGGACGCCTGTGGGGGCCGGGCAGGGTTGGGGGAGATCCAGGGGGTCTCTGGCAGGTGGGGCAGTGGGCAGGAGGCGCGGGATGAGGTGAGGCAAGGTGAGGCAGGGCAGTGGTGCCATTGTCACAGGGCAAGGCGAGGCAGGGGCCGGGGTGGTTGCTGCCTGACACATCAGCCCCCACAGAGGCCAACGAGCTCATGGGTGCTGGGATGCATCTGGCCACGTGGGACCTTGGCGAGTTAACGGGCGGCTGGTTGAAGAGGGACGGTTGCCATCTCCGGGGCATGGCGCGTGAGTGCCGCATCTGGCACGCATGCCATAGGTTCGCCACCACTGGCCTAGCAAATGAAAAAACCAGAAGCTGCTTATTCATTGTGCTAATGATAATTGCTTATTTAAATCATGATTTGAATTGATCAGTTAAATACCAATTTAGAGCTTCTTGTAACTTCATGTGATTTAGGTCAACCGCTGCCACCTGAGATGACCCTTGCCCAGCTTTTGACTCTGTTGTATGACCGCAAGCTTCCTCAAGGATACCGATCTATAGACTTGGCAGTTAAGCTTGGCTCGAAAGTCATCTCGGACCCCAGTCTTTCAAAAACAGATTCATTCAAGCGCCTACATACTGAAAAAGGTATACTTAGAATTGGCTTTATATGGGCACTGCACATAAATGTGGAAACTTACATAAAGTTTTATAAACTTACTGAAATATTTATACAATAGTGGCAAATATCTGTAGCTCAGGTGTAGGATGAGAGTGGAAGTTCATTCACCAAGCTTGTGGGTTGGTGTCTGAACTTTCTGTTACCAGGCTAGGTAACATCTGACCCATCACTAGACCATCACCTGACATGACCCTCCCATCATACTTTTTAATAGGAATTTTAAAAGTTCTGATTCAGATACTATTTCAGGCTTGAAACACTTCTAAAATGACTGAATACAAAACTGTTCCAGTTTAAATCAGTTCAATTCTATTAATATTTTGCACATTCTTCTTGTCCCATTTTGTACACAATGCTATATCATGCATCGTGCCTAGCAAAAAAAAATGTCCAGAACATTTATGGCAATTCTCAGTATATTAGTAAAAATAGGATGGCTGTAAAAATAATAATTCAATCAGTTGATAATTAAGAAATGAAGATTTTTAATCAGGGATGTCTATGGAGATTCTCAGTCATCCGGGTCATGGTTGTCCTAAAGGTGCTTTTTCAAGAGGCAACTGGACGTTCTTGTTTTTCTCTGAAGACGTTTCATTTCTCATCCAAGAAGCTTCTTCAGCTCTGACTGGATCAGGGATATTGTATTTTTTTTTTCAACTAATCAAAAAAGACAGAAAATTTAAAGTTCTGTATACAGAATTAGAATACTCAAAATACTTTCAGTATTTTTCTCTTGCCTCAGAAGTATTCTTGTCATAGCTTTTTTCATTGTTTTTACTGAAGAACAAGAGTTGGAAGGTACCTTAAAGGTCATCTAGTCCAACCCTCTGCTCAAGCAAATGGCTGCCCAGCCTATTCTTGAAAGCCTCCAGTGGCTTTGACAAACTACTTTCTGATTTTGCATGTTTCTGCAGAGATTTACAAGTGTTCTATTTGTCCAAACATATGTCTCCTACTTAATGTATACTGTAGCTAAACAGTAGTGTGTTAGGCTGTGTAAATCTATAATCTCTCCAAGTAAATGTTATTTAATGGTATTTTTTACCAGTTTTGACTGTTTTTATGTTATGTTATGCACAAATAGAGCATGCAGATTTATTGGGACCTTGCCCTGAAGATGAAGCAGTCACACCGGTTGAAGAATGCATGGATACAGTGCTGGATGAATCTTTTCTTGATACTTGCCCGCTCCAGTCCCCATTGCAAGTTTTTGCTGGGATGGGTGGGTTGGCCCTCATTGCAGAAAGACTTCCTATGCTTTACCCAGATGTGATTCAACAAGTAAGTCCAAAGAACATGTATAATTGACCTAATTAAAAGTTTCAAATCTCTGAAAAGAATGGGACAGATGAGCTTAATGGTGGCTAAGGTACTCAAACGTGTATGTCGTTGTTTCTATCTTGGCATTTAATAAACATTGGAATCTATATTCCAGTTAAGAATTATTACATATAACTGTAATCTTCTGTGTACCCTGCTTTAAAAAAAAATCTAGGGAACTTTCTTGTGTAGAGATAGATTAATATAATGATTAAAAGTACTGGAATTATTCAGGGCTTGCTGGCACAGAATCTGAGAATGTTCTAAGCACTTCATCTCAGTTGTATTTGTTCATAATTGTAGAAATGAGAAATTTTGCTATTAATACTAGTTCCATGATTTCAAACTCATATTTATCCCAGGTATATTGGAAAATGCCTCTTAACTTGAATTAATGTAAAATAAGAAATTCAATATTGAAAACTGCCTCCAGATCTCTTAATGTCTATTTTTTGGTAGGGAAAGGCACAGAGACTCTTGCATCCTCTTACTAAACTTTTATCTGGATTTCCAAATAATTTCTTCCACCACTATGAGATATTTATTCTCCTTTTTTCTCATATATATATTTGAAAATCAGAAAAATGGTTTTTAAAAGCCCAAATCTGGGCTAATGGGGAGGTGATCAAAAACATCCCAATGGAACTGCTTCAAAAGTTCTTGAGTGCATCTAGTGGTGTGTGGGCGAGCGTTATTGTGAACCAACACTACACTGGAAGTGGTGCCATAGAACAGGGATCCCCAACCCCCGGTCCGTGGACCAGTATCGGGCCACGGCATGTCAGCAATTGGTCCGTACAAACAAGCAAAGCCCCATCCGCAGGATGCAGGAAGCACATAAAACCACACACCCTCCGGTCTGCAGAAAAACTTCTCTCCACGGAACCGGTCTCTGGTGCCCCAAAGGTTGGGGACCTCTGCCACAGAAAATCCTGCCAAATGTGAAGATGCCAAAGGAGTACTGTTAGTGAAGTTCAAGGAGCGTGGCTCGGCCATCAATTCAGAAGTCTACTGTGAAATGTTACGAAAACTCAGACGAGCCATCCATAACAAGCGTTGGGGCATGCTGACTTCTGGTGTGGTGTTGGTTCACGACAATGCTCGCCCGCACACCACTAGACGCACCCAATAATTTTTGAAGCAGTTCCATTGGGATGTTTTTGATCACACACACCCCATAGCCCAGATTTGGCGCCAAGTGACTATTACTAAGGAGTTTCAAACCTTGTAAGAAGTTACGACATGCCTCAATTTGAATGGCGATTATGTCGAAAAGTAATGTAATGTTGTAGTTTTCTAATGTGTATAATAAAAGTTCTGTATCTGCAAGTGTCTGTCATTGATAACCAAATGGAGGTTTATTTCTGAATTGCCCTCGTCCTATGTTGAGTTGTTTTAAAATTCCAACACTGGAAATAAAAATAGAAAATTCCTACTGGTATATTTACTTCCTCTTACATGATAGAAAACATAACTGTTTTATTTGAGTATATGGCTTACTTTTTAAAATATGTCGCAGACACTTTCATAGAAACTTTCAAAAATACTTAAATAATAGGTAAATCTTGATTGTCAATTTAATTTTCAGTTACTGTTATTCAGTTATCAAGGGTGTTGTAAATAAATCAAGGAACTATTTAGTGATACAGTTTCCAGCTAAAATGTGCTTTTTAATTGTCAATCTTAGAGGATAGTTTTAAGCATCTTCTTTTCTTTCTGAAGGTGAGTGCTCCGGTTGTTACATCCACCACCCAGGAGAAGCAGAAGGACAGTGATCAGTTTGAATGGGTTACCATTGAACAGTCAGGAGAACTGGTCTATGAAGCCCCAGAAACAATTGCAGCAGAACCGCCACCAATCAAATCGGCAGTCCAAACTATGTCTCCCGTACCTGCTCATTCTTTGGCTGCTTTTGGATTATTTCTTCGCCTTC